TGTCCACAATGCATGCTCTCTATTCCAGGCTAACCGCAGGCGACAGGGAGTTGCAGTAAGTGGAACGCATCTGACAGGTCTACGAACATATAAGCCAATTTGCCCTAAGCGTCTGTACACGGTCTGCCTTGAAATTGTCGTACCAGTGGCTGAAGAGAGCTGACGAGACAGGTCCGAGGCTGTGCTCCGCCTGTTTCTTTTGGCAGTAACTGCCAAATACACGTCCTCATTCGGCGTTTTAACTCTGGGGTAACACTCTGGACAATTTCAAGTTCGTCTGAAACTTCCAGTTGGGTACGCCCACATTCCAGACGGCCGATAATTCTACCACGTAAAAAATCATCCAAATGCGTCCTTTGTGTCATAACTATTCGGTTATTGCACTGAAATGCTTATAAAGCGCCTGCGAACAATTTTACTTCTTTGCCTGTATTCCTTATATATCACTGTCTTACACTCTCGTCATTGTGACGTACCATCGGTGTCATCTGCTGAAATTTGCATATGATTCTTGAAGATGTGATTTTACAGGTGATATATTTATTTCAGACTTGATTTCCATGTGACTCTGAATTATCCTTAATTTATGGACATGAGTGTATATAAAATATGTAAAATTATAATTATATAAATTGCCGGCACATTTTATATAGTTTCTCCAATGTTCATGAAGCCAAAAGCTTTCCCAAAGGTACCTTGACATACACGAGTGGCAACTTTATGAAGATTACTTTTTAATGTAAAAAAAAAAAAAAAACTTCATAAAAGCGCCAGCAGTGCTATGAGGGGATGCAATTAGGGCTTTCATTTGTTTTATTTTTTAGCGTACCAAATAAAAGCGAACATTGGCAGGCGAGCATAAAAGTGCTAGTACTTTTGCCTGGGGAGCTGTGTTGAATGTTCTAGTCAATTCTATATAAAAGTCAAAACTTGTTAACCCACGAAAAATGCGGAAAATTTCATAACGAGGCATCTTACCCCGAGAATGTCGTGATGACGTACTTGTCGTGATGTCGTGATGACGACACTTGACGTGGTAAAGTAAGACTTTCAAAAAAGAAATTTTTTAGCATTTACACGGATGTTCTTTTGATCAGCAGCTTCGGAGTACATTACGACAATTCTGCATTGACAACAACAAATGGCATACTATGTCTCTTCATGCTTGTACAATACAAGTCGTATTATATCTTTGATATCTTTGTTCCCTCATATTTATATTAAATGAGTTCTTCTGCCATAACGTACGTAATAGAATTATATCTTAATTAAGCATCTAGAAATGTACTTTTCAAGGCACATAAAAGGACCTTTGTCAAACGACTTAAATAATTCAATTACAAAATTTAAATTAAATGAATTGATCAACAATTTATTCTAACTTAAGTTATGCATTCCTGTAGTTTAAAGGAATATTTTAGTATACTAGATAATTTATAAACGCTAGTTAAGGACATTTAAAAAAATAATTCTATTAATTAAACATTAAAAGTTTTTATCAATACAGATTTAAATTTAACAAAAATAACTTAAAAAGATTGTTGTAATTTTATTTCATATCTTAACACACAATATTTCTGATTTAAAGAAAAGTTACCCTCTATGCTTTAACTAAAAAAAGTATTTAATAAATATTTAATTAAAATAATTAGATCTAATCAAAGCTGTTCGGCGAAAATGGGACAATTATCTCTCCTGGACATATTTGGACACATACTCGCCTGATTTGCCTCGACACGATTTAATAAATCCGATATTGGAATTACACACTGCCGCGGTGAACCGCAAAAAGAAATATAGCTCATTATCCCTGACAAACCGGCAATTATGCAAAAATGGTGTTTTAATTTATTACCATAGAGTACGGGGCATTCATGAGGAGCTCTGGTTAATTAATATCACGAAGGCGTTGATCGATGAGATCGGATTGAGCAAGAACCAACGAATGTCACAAACGGGCCATTAGATTTCCAATCTATGATTGCCACCTGTGTGGTTTCCAAAGGCGCTAATTCGGTGCTTTCATTTTTCCATTAGCAACTTGCCTTTGAGCGAATGTGATGAGCATTTCAAATCCATCCAAACCTGTCCTTAATGATAAATAAATTTCAAATATTATATAGAGTTCTTTTTTCCAGATGTATTTAGTAGAGCTCAAGGGTTAATAAGCAGAGCATAAGAATATTATTATGGATTTAGCGTCACCTTCCAATGGTCTTCAATTATGTATCTATGATGTATCACAGAACCCCCACTGCATTGGATGTAACAAAAAATTGTTTATGTTTTTTGTGCGTGCCTTGAAGGAATAACTAGAAATGGAAGCAAATGTACTTTTATGTTTGCCGTACGTTGAAAATGCATTAGAGAATATTTTTATGTATATTTTTTTCCAGAAACTCATTTCTAAAATTTAATTTTTTTATATATAATAACCTGCTGTCTGGTAGTTTATTAACTCAATCATGCCAACAGCAGTACACGAATTCGCTCAATTTTGCTTCTAGATAGATAATGATTCTATTAAAATATGCAGGTCACCAAGAATACCATACTGTAGTACCTACGTGATGTAATACAGTAAAGAAGCACAGTTAAAATTTTAAAAAAATTGAAGGAAAATTTTAACAGTTTTTGAAAATTGAAATCAGCACTGCAGATCACAATTTTAGCATCACTCAGGCTAGAAGTTTTATTCTTACTATAAAGCTCTTACTAGTTAAAAATTTAGCAAATTTATCCTCCGAATAAAAAGTACTGATCAAATTTCGTATCTTTTAGAAGCGATATGAATATTGATTAAGTTATCTGTTTCGGGCGTTGAAGTTATTTATAAGCTAACTTTTCTACTTGATAAAAGAAATGGGTTTAGTGTCTTCTATTGAAAACAATAAAACATTTTGAAATCATCTTAAAATGTAATTAGATTTTACGTTTTTTAACTAATTAGTTTATTAGTTAGTGTAGCTTTGATTTTTAATCTTTGCTCAGCTATGTTTTATGAAAAATCTTGAAATCTAACTAGATTTATCTTAAAATCTAATTAGAGTTTCAGTTCATTAAGACGCTGACTGTTATCGCGATTTTGAGTTTTAGATAAGTAGCAAAGACTATACTTTGGCAACATGATTTTAAGTTATTATTGCGATACCATAGGGCCCAGGTTCGAATCCCGGAGAAGGTATGAATGTAAATTGTTTGTCCCTTCATAGGAGGTAACAGTGGCCATCTATTAGATGCCTTTATTATAAAATGACCACTCCTTCTGGCTTTTGTATAGTGGCGAAAGCCTAAAAAAATGGCTAGTGCCTGCCGTTAAAAAAAAAGAGAGAGATTTTGAGTTAAGTCTTTTCCATTTCTTATACACATTATTCAGACAACTAACGAAGATTATGATTTATAAAGCAAGTTATCCGGCGCAAAATAAAATGACCGTGAAATAACTGTTTTTGCCGCATTTGGTAATGGTAGCCATGGGTAATAGCGGGTATTTTTGCAATACGAGGGTTGTGGATTGATAATGAAAGCATGTTTAAGATTCAGTTATAAAAATCCTTATCATAGCAGAATTTTGATTAACCGAGGTTCGGGGTTTCCTGAAACGATCACTTCATGTGAATACACTGCTTTTCTTAGAGTAAATAGAAGTTTTTCAACGAATACTGTACTTTGCGGGCGAGGCGTTAATGACTGTCGGAATGTGGGTGTGACGTGCTGACCGCTCAACCATTGTCAGGGTATTGTTAGTTTTAACAATGCGCACATGCTGCGTTACTTCATTTAGCTAGGATTTTTGTTGTTTGTACTTTTCTGTAGTTCATTAAGTCCTGGTCTAGAATATCACAATGAATGAGAAATGGAAGCATATTGTGTGATCTCCTTACTGATGAAACCGTAAGCTGTTAAGCAGCTGGGCCGAGAACAGGCATTCGGGAAGAAAAAAGAAGGTGCTCATGAAATGATACTGAAGTGACTGAAATAGTAGAGGAGAATGGCAAATGTCTTTCTCTAATATAAAAATTATAAAGTGAAGAATGCAGTTACATTTTCATACAGTACTATGTAAGTTTCAGGTATTTATATTATATCAATTGTTAAAAACCTTTTTTTAAAAACCGCAGTGTCAGAGAAGCAATATCAAAGCATTTCCTAAAAAAATTTTAATTCCAAGTTATGACTCTTAATTAAAAATTCTTATTTAGTTATATAGCATTTTGTTTTCAGTTCCAATCTTTTAACGAACACGTAACCTGTGAGTTTTTATATTTGATCGATATATTAAGAAGACTCTCAATGTAAAAGTTGACGTGGACTATTTCTAAAGGTTTTATCAAACAATTTTAAAAGGCTTTATGAAATAAACTCTTTGAGATTGAATTTACTCACTATGATAAAACTGAGAGCTATTTATTTGCCTGTTAGCATTGGAAACAGGCAGCGGATTGCATTATTTTCTAAAGGAACCTGATCCATAGTTACATGATTTGTTCATCTCATAATACGGCTCACTGTTTCGAATAATTCTCAGCGCTATTTGGAATAATTGAATCCGAAGCAAACAACATGCTAAAAATTCATTCAGCCAGCACATGAGTGTAAATCATTTCATGTATAGCTTTGTTAAACTGACGTTTACACTTTAAGTATAGAAAAATCGATACACCGTACCTATTTTTGTGAAAAAATACTTCATACTGTATAAATTGAAGAAAGTTTGTATATTGTCTCATTTACTCAACGCTAGAAACTTCAGTATTGTTTGACCGCGGAATCGTAATAAAAATGGACGGCAAACGCATACGTGTATGTTTAGATGTATCATGCGTGGTGTACCGAACTAAAAAGGGGATGGTAGATGCTTAGGTGTATCGTTGATAAATTTGTGTGATATCATGCTCAAGAACTTTGAGATATCTTGATTGGATGCGCAACATTTTTATTGTATTCATTTCTTATTTATAGGATACCTATTCAAAGCTGACAATCTTTTATGCTTTCAGGTGCACAGCGAGCACATGCCGTTCAAGTGTGATTTCTGTCAGAGGCTGTTCAAGCACAAACGAAGTCGAGATCGCCATGTGAAACTACACACAGGTGACCGCAAATACCGCTGTGGACAATGCGAGGCCGCATTCTCTCGCAGTGACCATCTGAAAATACACATGAAAACGCATGACAACGCCAAGCCTTATCAGTGCGCCGTCTGCAACAGAGGCTACAATACCGCAGCAGCTCTCACCTCACACATGCAAAACCATAAAAAAGATCAAAGCAACAACCCTTCCAGCCCATCCTTTCAGCACCATCCTTTCCGATGTCTCCAGTGCACAGCAGGCTTTTCCACATCTAAAGACCTTCAGGTAAATTGAAAATTCATTCTTTTCTTTTCCCAGCTCTATTAGACGGCAGCTATGTTTACATTGCGTTGCCTCTTAATTGATCTATACACGACAGTTTGAAGAAAAGCAGCAAAGATGGCGGTTATTATAGAAGACAGTTGAAATGACATTTAAGTACAATCTCTATTGTGATTGCCGCTTGTAAGTTAAATAGCAATGTAGCAAAAATATTCAATTAATTAGGACCGTTTCGTAACCATTCGTCGTCATAAAGATGCCGACACTTGTATCCAATTTGGCCACTATTCAAAAAGGCAGAAAAGTTCGTAAGGATGCTATGTTTTAAATGTACCTGATGATAAATTCCCAATATGCAAAAAATAAATTTCCGATATGCAAAAAATAAATTTCCGATATGCAAAAAATAAATTTCCGATATGCATAAAGCAACCTTCATAGAGGTACGTACACTTTTATGCAGGTGCACTGTGATGGAAGTAGATTTTAGTTTGTTGTTAAGATCTGCAAAACAGATGAAAATTCTACTTCCATTACGATGCCCTGCATAAAGATATACTTTCTTCGTGAACAAACTTTGATCTACAAGACACTTTTATGTTGGAGCCACCCGTATGTTGGTTTCTGTCTATTCACACAGTGGCCGAATTGCATAAAACTGCTGCGCACTTTTATGAGGGGGGGGGTAGCGTTATGAAGACGTCTCCAACGGGTTTTCTATACGAAATCCATTATTGCGACTAAAGCTCATTCTGCTGTAGAGAATTGTATATAGAACAGCAAATATTTTGTCGCTGGAATGTTTCTAAGAAGCGCAAAATGTGAAACTGAAATGAAGTATGCTGTATTCTAGGACTCTACTTTCATTTTTCCTTATTGACAACAAAACTTACAAACCTTAAACTTTTTTCATACTTTTTTTAATTAGTTTTATAATGATAGATAAAATTTTAATAATTTCAATTCGATCGATCTCTATTTTCCTTATGAAGGTTACCTTCATGAATACTTATTTAAAAACTTGTAATCAAGTTGCAAGCAGAGGAGAACTACAATAATCAGCCCATTCCACCATCAAAGAACTAAATCTAAAATAACAAATTACCAGTATTCCCCATTGATGACCATTTAACCATTGATGGACTGGATTTAATTAAAATTAATGCCTGTACCAAACGCGGGCAACAAAATTCATCAGAAGCAAAGAATTTACGGTAGAAAGTCTAGCGCCATACTGTTAAAAGTAAAACATATTAAATGATATAGTAATGCTATATTTGCAAGCATGTATATTTTTCCAGAGAATTTTTCCTGAATATAGAATTCCGGTAACTTTTACTTCCTTGTATAAAGTAAAAGAAGTATTGTAATAGCGTAAAATTTCGGGTATCATATTTCAAACGAAATATCCATTTTGACCTTTCCTGAATCCACTTTTTTTTTTTTTTTTTTTTTTTTTTTTTTCCCGACGTCTATACTCACGGACAAAATAAAGGACTCGTTTTTTAAAACGGATTGTAAAATGGATTTAAAATTGATTCAAATGAGAACTTTTCCTGACGTTTGCACGTGCGAACGTACGTATGTATCTCGTATAATTTAAAAACGATTACCCGTAGAATTTTTGTATATAGGAATGCTTTAAAATTTTGTTCGTGAGACTTCTATAACTATTCTTATTGTGCACCTTCCCTTTTTATTGCAATCGACAGTACCAAACGTATATACTATAAATATGTATATACCCACCCCCTTACCCGGCTTTTATTTTCGCAGTCGTTGGTGGTAGTCATATACTTCCAATAACAGAAGTAATGTAACGATGAAAATATTCATGTTTTGACAGCGTCAAATTAAAAAAAAAAAAAAAAAAATTCTGAAATATTTCAGAATTTAAATTACGTCTAAAAGGGCGTTTTTTTTTTTTTTTTTTTTTTTTTTTTTTTTTTTTTAACGTTTTGTGTGTTACATTTATTTATTAAATATCATGTAGCATATTAAATGTTCTTTGAACGTAAACTATAAAATTCAGTTCAGCAATGTCGCAAAATAATTTAAAAATGAGCATATCTTCAGAGTTTCCGATACGCAGTTCCGCGCGGTGGAGATAAAAAGGTATTTTTTATTCCCCGTACAGTGTTGCCATTGCTCGCTTTTAAATCGCTAAGTTTGTTGATCAAAAATTCGTTAAAGTTTTACAAAATATGAAATCGATCATAAAACAAATTCCAAATATCAAATTTGGAATTTCTTCAGATGCTCATATTCGCAGTAGGATTACGTTATTCAAAACTGGATGGCTGTAAGTACTGTTGTTTCATCACAATGCGAGAAACATACATACATTTATGCAGATTCTTCATTATTTAATTTCTTCAAATATAATACAGGGCGATAGTATTTGGTGGCAACGATTTAAAAGTGATACAACCTTTTAAAACGCAAAACGAAAACAATAGTCCTTCAGGGACAAAGCCCCTTCGGACTTAAAAAAAAAATTGACGAATAAAGAAGTCTATCTTTTAATGTGATATCCAAGTTCCTATACTAATATTTTAAAAAGGTTTATATGTCTTACGAAAAAATAAAATTATAAGAAGTTTGACTCCCTTACGACAAAAATTGGTCAGGGTATTCAATTTCAAAATTTGCAGTTTTTGATGTCGTATTGAACTTGCCTTGAGAGATCGGTTAATTAGAATAATTCGAGAAAATTGGTTTAACTGAAGGGCAGCAAAAAAATGTGTATAATTTAATAAGCCGTACAAAAAAGTCATACACACAGTTATTGACTCAAAGAGATTACAAACACTTTTACTTAATGGCTTATTAAGGTTATCAGACTTTTAGTTATTGATTTGGATTTATTAAGATCTTCAGACTTGTAGGTATTGATTGAAATTTATTAAGATTATCAGACTGTAGAGATCACAAAATCCTACAGTGATACTTCATTCAATAATGTTCAAAGTACTCAGATTTTAATTTAGTGTTTTTAACTAAAACTCGAGTTCGTAAAAAAAAAAAATCATTCAGATTTAGTCGTGATTTGTCATTTATTAAGAAAACTCATATCCTAGCATTTAAATTCTGTGTTAATGAATACACGCGCGCAATTAAATACACACAGTTCTAATCCGACCGTTCTTTCCAGATCTACGCATTACATTTAGGTAGCGCCATCTACCGGTTATAAAAGTTACTAATTTATTTAGTTTAGAACTAAATATATGCCCGTGTTTATGTAAAAGGAAAAAAGATCAACAATGCATTTTTTTAACTCTTCCTAGGTAAGCAAATTTTATTCGTATAATTTTAATGTGAGAAAGGCGAGGAACTCTACCAAGATTTCTGCAGTTTCAGTGAAATTCAAGCAAAGAATCTTTTTTTAAAATTGTACATCGATTGCTTAAATTGAGCCTTGAACAAACAATCAATAAACCTGAAAATATTTCTTTAACCCATTCTTGGAATTTATTTTTATTTATTTATTTATTTTACAGTTGTCTTTTTTTTTGGGAGGGGGGGGGCGAGAGAAAATGCATAGCTACAATTGTTTTTTTACTCTCAATTTTAACTATTCATGAATTGTATTGAATTATTGTTATATTTACGAAACTGCTATGTTCAAGCGTACAGAATTAAAGTTGTTCTAAAATCTTATACTGTAAACAACAAATTTTGAAATGTGTCTAAGAGGGAGAGAATAATGTTATGATACTTTTGTTTCAGATGCATGTAGCGACGCATGATAATGAGGTATCTACGAATGAAAAAGCACTCCAATGCAACTTTTGTTCAGAAACCTTCTCTAATGCTGAGTGTCTAAGACAACACGTTGAACAGAAACATGCTCCCGAAACGCAAGGAAAATGTCCGGAATGTATGGAAACATTTGCATCTCTGGAAGCACTTCTGCAACACAAGAAGGTAAGTTATTCCGTAAAAGCAGTTTCGAATTCAGCTAAAATTAAGCAAATTTCTTCATCACTGAATTCTGTGATAAAAACGCTATATATTTTGCTTTTAATTGAAACAAAATTTGGTTGCATTCATTTAGGCATATTTAATTCAAATTTTACTCTCTGTAAAAGACGTAAAAAAAAAAAAAAAAAAAAAAAAAAAGTTGAAGGGGGGGCAACACATGACTTCCTTGTTCCGCTTAGACACATTTTTTGCTGCACTTCATTTAAACTTGTTCCCTCGAATTATTCTAACTTAATTAACCGATCCCTCAAGGCAAGTATATATATGCTACTAATTGCAATAAAAAAAAAGGTGCACAACTAGATGTTATAGCAGGACCTACAAAATTTTAACGTTCTACGGCTAATTGTTTTTGAGTTATCTGAGATACCTACATACGTACGTACCTTTCTTGTACGGCTTATTAAATTATACACATCTTTGGCTGTATTTCATTTAAAATTATTTCCTCGAATTTCATTAGAAAGATATTTTTCTCATTCAATTAATTCAGTTCTCAGTTCCCGGCCAGGCAAAAGTACATGAAAACTCAAAGCCTGCTCATGAAAAATTGTAAAATGGCGAAAAATGTAAAGCACATTTTTTGCTGCACTTCATTGAATACAGTTAAAAGAAAAAAAGATTTCTACAATTAAAATTAGAGTTTCTACGCAAAAACAAGCAATTCGCCTAGCGGGCTGGAAGACAGATTTTTCTGTGCACACAAGTGAAGTTAATTTTGTCCCCACTCGGCAATAATGCACTGAAGTTGGTGCACAAACTGACTTAATTTGCTATTCTTCTTAAAGTTTCAAATGTAATCGAATATCGGCCCCTGATAATTCTACAACTATTGCACGGAGATTAACTAAAGCCGTAACCGGAAAATTAGAGCAACATAATTCAATCACTTTTAAAGCAAAAAATGCACAATTTACCCACATATGAACATATTTAACAACATATGAGGGAAAAAAAACTGAGTTCGCTCGGGTAATAAATATAATAAATTTATAATAGATTGGATATATATATATATATATATATATATATACGTATACTCACACACACGTTTGGTGCAGCCGATTGCAACCAAATAGGGAGGTGCACAGCTTCATGTTAAGCAGTTCCATACACAAAATTTCAGCGTTCTGTGGCTACTCTTTTTTTGAGTTATGCGAAATACATTCGTATGTATTCATCTACGTATAGACGCCACGAAAAAGTCTCTTCTGAATTCATTTTACAATCTATTTGGGAGAAAAGAGTGCTTTATTTTCTCGTATGTATAGATATCACGGGGGAGAAAAAAAAACCGCGATTACAATATTCGCTTACAATTAAGTGAAAAAAAAAAAAAAAGAGAAGAAAAAGAAATTTTTTAATCAATTTCTTTCTATAGATTTAACTGACTAAGCTACTATCAACGAAGACTAACTTCTTATGTGCTTACTAAGCATTATTAATTGAGCATACTGCCAATGAAGGCAGTTACGTTTTCGTAAACATAAACCTTTGTTCCACAATAGGTGGGAAAAAGGAGTTTATATGCATCTTAGGTCCTATTTTAAGCGCTCTAAAACCTTGCTAATCCGTGACCTTCCTGAAGGTCACGACCAGTCTCACACTTTGTCTAGGGGATATTAAGACTAAAAAGAAAAAGAGAGAATTGAACCTTATACCTCCGAGTTATCCCCTGGAGTCGTCTTAAAACTGGGAACAGAGTTCGGTGTGCTTTTTTCCTCAGAGCCGAAACCTCTCAATGCAGAACTCAAATGTGTGAAACAAATGATCCTTAAAGGAATGCTTTAGGTTTCCAAAGGAGGAATGACATTTGTTGGCTAATGCGCACGACTGCAGCACCTCGAATCTCCGTGCAATAATTTTGGGAGCTTTCCAGTTATTTTACAAAAAATTATAACCAATAATTATAAAAGTAAACTAGTAACAGAAGTAAAAGAAATCTAATAACCCAGCTCTAAAATAACAATTCCAAATGCAAGTTAAATTTAATCGCAAGTTTCTAAATTTTCATTTAAAAATATTTGACAATAAAAATAGACAAAAAAAGAAGAGCGAAAACGAAACTAATCTTTAGAGACATAACATTAAAAAGAAATGCGTTTTCTTCCTCTCAATTTTTGCACTTAATCTCAATGAATAATAAAGAAATGCATTTCAAGAAAAATTGAGCAAGGGACATACATAAACACCCGCGAATCTTTCAAAAGATTCGAGATTTGAAAATTTATATCTTCGCGATATTTTTCGTTATTCAAAACTTTGGTAAACCATCCTAAAAAAGTAATTAAGGATTTAGCCTCGAATTTTGGAGAGAAAAGCTTTATTGACATCTAATAGAAGAATTTGTTAAAAATAATAAACAGTTGCGTAACCAATATCATCTCCTCGAAGCCTTAAGTAGCCCTTTCTTAATTTTTTCGAGAAAATTTAATATTCCATGTTTAGTATTTGTCTGTGCTAACTTTGGAAATAATTCTCCTTGAGTATACTTGATTTTATTTCAAAATATTCCGAAAAGCTTTAAAAAATTTCAACTTTTACTCAGATATTTTTGACAAATTATACTTAGAAAATGGACGTCCAAATTCAAGATTTTAATTGCACATTTCATTAATTGTATGTCGTCTGAATTTCCTTACTAAATATAAGTGTATTTTTAAAATTAGAATCGTAATTTTTTTATTAAATACTAATTTGCAATTATGCTTTAGTTACAAAAAAAATTATATTAAATTGAAAGTTTTTCCTCCTTTATTATTATAGTTATATGTATGATTCGAGAGCAATGAAATTCGAAAGAATAGAGAGATTACAAAGCGTTTTAAGATCTTGTTTCGGATTCGAAGAAATTCATGTCCCAACTCTAAAAAAATAGAAGTTTTGTATACCAGTGAGAAGCAATCAAATTATTAGATTGAAATATAAAGCTACTATAGATTCTTCAACAATCTGAATTTAATAAATCAGGGGAATTAATTACATTACTATAATCTCATACTAATTATAATACTGCATTACATTAATGTAATTAGGTAAATTTATCTTTGGTAGAGTCTTTTCTAAATTGCTTAACAAGCTGCTGAATTTCACGCAGAAATTTTGAAAAATTTGATTTATGGCATTGTAAGTGAGATTGTTAGATGTATATTTAGTGTTAAAAGCTATTTTATATCTACGCACATGCAATAAATATAAACCTGTTTGTGAAAAAAATACAATAAACTGAACAAAACAGATGGCAAGAAGGTCATTAAATATGTTTAAAAATCTACATAAAGTGGCAGAAATTGAATGTACTTTTTTTGTTTCCTTTGCTAACTATTTTTTTTTTTTTTTTTTTTTTTTTTTTTTTTTTTTTTTGTTTATAAAGAATTGTATCCATTCCTCATTCAATTTTTTTCAACTCGATTATGCAAATGTGAAAAATACATAATACTTATTGGCGCAACCTTAAAAAGTCAACTCTTGTCACTATTTTACCAGATCACAGCTTCCAGTGAGGTTAGATGAGGTTATTTGAATACCGTAAAGCACGCGAGGGCTGTCTGCTTTGGTGGTGGGCTTTGGCTGCCTGTTTTGGTAATGGAAACTAAAAAAATAATAAGAAGAATAATAAGAACTCCTCTTATTCACGTTATGCGTGCGGAAAACTAACCATACCGAGAAGCCCCGTTCGCCTAAGATCGAACCTTAGTCGAACTACTAGTATTCAGCAGTCTTCACCACTCGGCCACTGGTGGAGCAACTCTTCCAATAATACTGTCAGGTTGAAAAGCTTGAGTCTTAAAGGATTCAAGAACTCTCTTTTTATAATTGACTTATTTAGGTTACAAAGCTTTATTATTTATCTATTTTTATTACCTAAAACACGTAAATCATGTCTTCCTTTATTCTATAGGTTTGAAAAATGCCGTAAAGACAAAAAAGGGTAAAGAGAATTTTCTGCGCTATCTTTCAGGTTTAGTCAATGCGTTGGTTCGAACCGCGCATGCGTGTTTGTACACATATTAGCGACAGCAATGAGAAATTATTTAAATCACATCTAATACCTTACCAATGTACTACCTGTACTTTTCCAATAAGCTACTTCTGCGTCTACTGTCAAATAATACTTTTCTAATATGTTAATTTGAAAGTATTGCGTTTTCAAATCTTTCGGAAAAAACTCATCCAACTTTGACACTAACAATAATGCCTAACTGTAGAAGATAAATATGAAAGTGCAGTTAAAAACATAGATTGAAAGCGCAGTGAACACACGTTTATACAAGTATTAGCACATGACTACATGCACAATATTTTCTCAAAGGAGTGAAAAATGATACTGTATTCTTAACTATCTTAACTAGTAAACAAAATACAGTTCTGCTTCTCTGTATGATTTTGTTTAACCATTGAAGTATTAATTCTAACGTAATCCTCAAAATCTTTTATCTTTTTCAATTTCTGTTTATAAAGTGATATTTAGCATGAATTACATAATAATTAATGAAATATATATTTTCATAATTCCGTGAAGTTTTAAAAAGTACATCTTTTACAGAATCATGAAGAAGGAACTCCTAAAGAAACTTCTAGTACTGCTAGATTTGCTTGTGGATTTTGCACCAAGAATGAATTTCCAACTATGGATTCATTACAACAACATATGCAGGAGTCTCATGTTCCAATGAGCAACAGTCTGGAGTCTTCAACTACTCATGCTTCTTCGACAAGTCCAATGAGCAATCCCAGAGCAACTCCTGACACACCCTCACGTTCGCAGAATGCTTCATCGACAAATCCTTATGGCTGCGAGTACTGTACTATGAGATTCAGCAGTCTACACGGCCTTCAGAAGCACACATTGTCTGTGCATAGTTTTAGTGAAGTTGTAGAAAGCGGCTCAGAAAATGTTTATTGTTCTCAGTGTAACAAAGCCTTCTCTAGTACAGCTATTTTAGCTGATCATGTAAGGACAATGCACGAGAGAGAAGCAAATGTTCCTAAAGATTATGCTGAGAAAAAGTCCCAGTCCAGAAGCAAAAATTCCAGTCCCAGACATTTGCCACTGCCTGAGATTCCAATTTTCAATGGCACAACTCCTCATTTTCCTAGCCCAGGAACGTTTCTCTGTAGCCAATGTAATGCAGCTTTGCCTGATTTCGAATCCTTCCGCACTCACTTAAAAACCCATCTTGACGCTGTAGTAAAAAAGTTTAGTTGTTCCGAATGTGATGGACAGTTTCCTACGGAAGAACTCTTAGATGCTCATGTTGCTAACCATTATTTGGCCACAGCTACAGAATATGGCTGTCAAAGTTGTCTAAAGATGTTTGTGAAACCGGATCATTTACAAAAACATCTCATGGACATACATGCTCATCAACTATTTCAATGTGCATTGTGCAAAGAGATATTCGATTCCAAAGTGAATATTCAGGTTCACTTCGCAGTGAAACACAGCAACGAATGCCACTTGTATAAGTGCACTTCATGCAATTCTATGTTTAGAACTGAGATAGAGTTTCATTTACATGTCAAAGTAGCCCACTTGGCGAAAATGCAGCCATTTCGATGCTTTCTATGTGATTTATGCTTTCCAACAGAACTACAATTGCAACTTCATCTTCAGAGTCATAAAAAACCATTTTCTTGTGTGTTTTGTCGCGAAGAATTTCATGTAGAATATCTTCTTGATCGTCATATTCAAGAAAAACATTCTACTGAAAACTTAGTATCAGCTCCTGGCAATGATGTGGACAGTGTTCAGAATCTGAGTCTCAAACCGTGTCCAAAAATTGACAGCGATATTAATTTTTCTATGAACAATAAAAAACAATTGCGTTGTGATATATGTGATGCAAGTTTTGCCATTGAATCATCGCTTAGTGTGCATAGGCGACAAGTTCATAACATACGAACTTCTGGTTCCCAAAAACCTGGTCAAACTACTCTTAGTTTATTCTGTGCATATTGCAATGAATCGT